CCGGTATGTTGGTTAAATTTGTCCGAATTAGCCCGATCGGAAAATGTCGAAGGGTGATTTTCCTAGCAAAGATCCCAAATTTTAACGACAAATAATTCTTACAGTTTGCACCTATTCCATAATATTCATGTCTTTTAGATCCAAAATTATATATTCATTTGTGATTGTGTTTTGAGTAGTCCATATACTCCAAGATCACTACTCTTTAACTGTACATAATCAACAAACTTATTAACAACGTAAATATACAGTATATTAAAATAAACTGTATATCTGATATCTCTAACCAATCAGCGTCACGAAACGTACAGAAAGATATGATCACGTGATATTATTTATCACACCTCCAAAAATTCTGCGCACCAATCAGCTTTCAAGACACAAAAAAGATTGTACGTTACACCTGATCTCGAAATAAATAAGATCACGTAGTTATCACAGGCTGTAGTAAAAGCTTCGCTCCGGGCATTAAAAGATTCATATGTATGTACCTTTCTTTGATGGATTTTATATTCGCCGTAATCACCTAGATTACACAAAAAACGTGCTCACATCAAATAAACGTTTTTATTGTGATTTGAGTTCAAAAATTTTAAAAATTTTCTTGCTATCCACGTATCATAAACTTATACAGTTATATGAAAAAAAACAAGTCCACACAATCATCCATTCTCATAGCTTTCTATTATGTCACAGAAACTGAAGACTGGACTTGTGTTAATATTATCAAGAAAAAACGGGAGAAAAAAAGGAAGATTACAGCAAAAAAGATCTCAGAAAAGTATTAAATCCTGATTTTGACTTTGGTATATTGCGTAAAGAAAAAGCACAAGAAATTCTTGATATTTGGAAAGTAATAAATGTATTAGCGGGTATATTGGTGTAAGTTAAGAGCTCATTCCGAACAGCCATGAACTCTTTGTTCAACGCTTGGTGCAAGCTGAACTCTTTGTCTACAGTGATGAACTCTTTGTTCGATGCCTAGTGCAAGCTGGGACTCCTTGTCTAAAAGGAATGAGCTTTGAACGGTCATGAACTCTTTGTTCAACGCTTAGTGCAAGCTGGACTCTTTGTCTGCAGTTATGAGCTTTTAGTTCGACGCTAAGCGCAAGCTGTTATTTTTATATCTAGAAGTTTTCATTTTATGTTGCTATTGTGAAATGTTTCTAATAATCCTAAATTTTATTTGCAAGAATTGGTCTTCATCAAAGAATTCAGATATGGATTCATATAATACATGTGTGACAATTGGACATTTACAGGTGAGTTCCTATTTTGAAATTTAATAAGACAAAATATTGAATAGTATTTTATCAATTAGATAGAACGGCTTGCAGCTGATTTTGTGATTCAGATCAACAATAATGATACGACAAGGTGAAACCCGCGTCGGAGGTGGTTATGTTATTGATTCACATCACTACCTAAATAACATCTAACTCTAATTAAAAATAACATCTAACTCTAATTAAAAATAGATCTGTATCAAGAAAGTAACCTAAAAAACGCGAGTTTCACCCTTTTTCGTATCAACACTGATCTACAAAATCAACGCGGGTTTCACCCTGTTCTATAATGATTGTCAAGATGTAAGAATAGTTATTAACTTTAAGGTTAATTATACCATACGATCGCATACTTTTGTCTAACGATTGTTTTAAATATAGATAAACTTTGCATGCGATATTACAAAGGGAACTGAAGACGGTGTGAGAAATGTTAATAAAGAGGTGTTATGATTATTTAGATGTAATTTTGTTAAAGTTATTTGGCAAAAAAGGTGATAATATCAAATTTATTTAAAAAAAAAGGACGCACCAATTGCATCTATCCAACCAAAAAATTTAAAAAAAAAATGTGATGCCGATAGAGAAAATTTGGAAATAAATGAAGTTCAGACAATAACAATATAAAATCAACGGAGTTGAAAAAGTTAGGGCTTAATAAATATTGAAGAAAATAAAATTTTAGATTTTTATCTGCTAAGTGATGTAGAATCAGATATTAATGATGCAGAATCTGGTAGTGAGTCTCCAGTACAAAAATATCCGAATATAGATAGCCCGAAAGATAATTGGCCCTTACCTTCAGGAAGATCGATAAGTATAATTTATGACAAAAGAATTTTCACAAATCGCAGTAATTTATAGATTTATATTTTCTTTTATCTTACCTTCCAATTTCACATATACAATTGTTATTGTTTATATCTTTAGTCCGTCACATTTTAGGATAATACGTACTGGCATAGTGATCCAAATTGTTAGTTGAAAAACCAACTAGTTGACTAATTGATTGGAAAACTTTTAACCAACTAATCGTTCTTGATTATCTACATAATAAATTTTACATGTTAAATTTCTTTAGCCAATCAAATTGATACAAAAAACATGTGATTATTTATTTGACCAATCAAATTTATCAAAGACATGTGACAATTAGTTGCAACTAATCGGGATGAAGATTGGAACATTTAAATTCAAGTGTCCAATAATTAAATAAAAATAGAGGTCATGAAAATCGATTAATGTTATATGATAATAGAACATGCGAGATAAGCTATAAATGCTTATTGTAATATTAGATACTCTCTCTATTCCGAACAGTCCGTTCTTATATGTAAAAATAACAAAAAGTTCAGTTCTCAAAGAGTTACTATGTTGTTTATCCGAACTTTATAATAAAATTTACAAATGTTCTGAAGTTTTGTGTTCGGTTTTTACAGAGTTGATTAAAAGTTCGGATTATTCAGGACCGGATTTGGAAGAGTTTACTGTATTATCTCTTGAAATAAATTATTTATATCAAATTAGCCTTTCGCTAATCTGAAATTAGAAGCGAAGATTATGCATTTGATTTAATTCATACGTATGATTAATGAAGATTTTGCCTATTCTAAACAGTACTTCAGTACTTCAACAGTGGCTTACCGATTTTTCATAAAAAATCTAACAACATTTAAACAGCGTATCCAGAATACCCTGATGGAGACAGTGAAGGTGGATCGTATCACTACTATTATCATGATCATTAGGTGTAAAAGAATGAGGATTTATTTATTCGAGCTCTTTTACCGGTTGGATTCAATGGTGAACTCTCGTTTACATTACCAACATAGTCTTTCAATATCGACGATCGTGAATGCAACGAGGTATTGCGCCAATGTGATTTCTTAAATTTTTCGAGTAACTTAAAAGAGTTATCTAAGCCTCTCTGTAAAAAATATCAGAATAGGGCTTTTTAATATAAGGAGCGCATTCAAATTTTACTTACCCCCAAATTCCATAAAATTTTTAATGCATGCACCAATTCATAATTCTCGTCCTAATTAATTGACAAATAAAATATACCAATTAAAAACATTCTATAAACTTTGGAAACGGGCAGATCCATTCTCCACACCTGCACCTCTTGCCCTGTATGCATAAATAAAAAAAAATAACGATAACTTATTTACCTTATATTAATAAAATTAAAATACTGAGTTTATCTATCAACTTACCATGTACGTAATTTTCTTAAAATTTTATAATCTCCGCGATTGTCCTTTTTCACAATATCATTTAGAATATCACGACACCCCCAACTTAGTGTTACAAATCGAAAGTTGAAAAAATCGATTAGTTGGTTAGTTGACAACTAATCGATTGAACTTTTTAGACAC